GTTATTATGTTTTTTGCTGTAAAAGATACAACTCAGAAAAGAACTCAGATGTTCACTGTAAAAGCATGTACTGACAGAAGACTCAGAATATCTAAAGCTCGTGTCCACAGAAAACTCCAGCGGCATGGTACAATAATATATATATATGTATGTATACAAGGAGTGAGTATACATCTCTCTAATTATATTTACATATTTTAGTACATCCATCACCACTGTTTGTGCATGTAGGTATATACTTGTTTACATGAAAATTAAATGAGTAATGAAAAGCCACGTATAGTTAGTTATTCTGTGTGCTTCACAATTGCCAGGGGAATGGAGTTCAAGTCTAAACTCTATCAGGTTAGATAAACATCATTGATAATGGCCCTGGCTTTAAATCCTTTGAAATAATCCGATGAGAACAATGTTTCTGTGTTTACCAACGTGAAAGAGTGAAATCTGAACTTTAGTATAAGTCCTTATGTTTTATAGTTTAACTTGTATCTTCGGGAAAAGTCCAAAGAAGAAATAGGCAAGTAGCTAAGCACGTTTGTGATGCCACCAGGTGGCCTTCTGTAACTAAGCTACACCAATTAAGTTTATGCTATGAACGTTTGATCAAGCTTTCTAGACTGCGAAACCGGATGTTATTTTGTAAATAAAATTGAGGCGATGTATACAGTTAGAATGTAAAGTATAATATTTATTTGTCTGTCTAATAACAATATCCTCCCTAAACGTCGGTCATAAAACGGCTGTTACGTTAATGTTGATATCGAATTGACAATATTTTTCTAAACCACTTATATATTAAAGAATAACAACAAAACCTGTAAAGATTATTCTATCATTAGTTGAATTATCGTGATTTTATGTGCAGTATTAGATTGGACAGTGTAGTCCTTGTAGTGATTAAATATTTGACTTTCAACTGTTAGTGGTTAGCGTTCCGAGCATGCGTATTGTGATGGTGGTGAACACGCTCGCAGTTTCAGCTGTGGGTGATTTATAAAAGTGGCAGTCACTCCCGTCATTTTGTTTAAAGCTAGCCAAAGCCCTTGTGCCGGTGGTTGCTTTCCAATAGTTGAAGATAAAGACTGCTATGCCTGAGCCCTAGAAGGCACTGTTCGGGTTGTAAATACAAAACACCATTTACATACTTATTGCCCATCTTTTGTACCAAAAGAAGAAAATAATGTAACTGAACCACCACGTGGAACGTACAACAATACGAATGTGTAGGATGCAGCAATGCATGTATGGAGATTGTTAAAATGTGAATGTTAAACGTTTAACACTACAAGTGTGAAATATATAACAGTATGAATGTGGAACGTATAAAAATGTGAGCATGGAGAGTAGAACAAGGATACTGGAAAGTGACCTTAGAGTGTTTAACAAAACGACTGTGTAGGATGCAGCTGTATGAGTATATGTCGAATTTGTTTCTTGCAGACTTTTGTTGGTTTTAATCTGACCACAACTGTTTAAACTTAACGATTTGGTTAGTTCTACAAGTGTATTGTTTGAAAAGTTTAGTGTACTTGCGAGACTCGATTCTGTAACATTTCGACCAAGAACGAGGTTTATTATTAGCTACAGTTCATCATCGCCATTAGGCTTACCTGTCATGACTGGGCTGTTACAGCTTTTAAATAACAACTCAATTACTCACAGTTCATCATCGCCATTAGGCTTACCTGTCATGACTGAGCTGTTACAGCTTTTAAATAACAACTCAATTACTCACAGTTCATCATCGCCATTAGGCTTACCTGTCATGACTGAGCTGTTACAGCTTTTAGATAACAACTCAATAACTCACAGTTCATCATCGCCATTAGGCTTACCTGCCATGACTGGGCTCTTACAGCTTTAAGATAACAACTCAATTACTCACAGTTCATCATCGCCATTGGGCTTACCTGTCATGACTGAGCTGTTACAGCTTTTAGATAACAACTCAATTACTCACAGTTCATCATCGCCATTAGGCTTACCTGTCATGATCAGATTACTGAATGGAGATAAAATTTTCCTATTATTGAATAAAGAAATCAACGGAAAACACAGAGAGAGAGAGAGAGATAAAGAAAGACAGACTAATAAATTATGTGAGAGACCTAGATGTAAAAGTTCAGAGAAAAAGAAAACAAAACAAAGATGGCGTTAGACAATATGATAATCAAGAAAAAAAACACAGCTGTTTGTTTTCTCTCTTTCTTCAGGTCAAAAATGCAACCTTTGAACCGCTTGTGCAGACATCAGCCGAATCCCGGAATGTCCAGTTTATTAGGGTTACGTCTGTGGATGATTGTTTTAACTCCCGGAATGTCCAGTTTATTAGGGTTACGTCTGAGGATGACTGTTTTAACTCCCGGGATGTCCAGTTTATTAGGGTTACGTCTGAGGATGACTGTTTTAACTCCCGGAATGTCCAGTTTATTAGGGTTACGTCTGTGGATGATTGTTTTAACTCCTGGAATGTCCAGTTTATTAGGGTTACGTCTGAGGATGACTGTTTTAACTCCTGGAATGTCCAGTTTATTAGGGTTACGTCTGTGGATGATTGTTTTAACTCCCGAAATGTCCAGTTTATTAGGATTACGTCTGAGGATGACTGTTTTAACTCCAGGAATGTCCAGTTTATTAGGGTTACGTCTGAGGATGACTGTTTTAACTCTGGAACAGAGGTGCTCTTGCCAGAGCACAAACCACCATGTTAGTGACTGTGCAGTTGGCTTTTTAACAAGGAAAAAACTAAAAACTGTTCAAAAATTAAGTTATGTTTACTGAGGTGAAACCAACAGTAGTTTAGCAGTAAGTTTCTGGACTTACAACGTTAAACTTCGGGTTTAGATAACTGCAGTGGGCAGAGCACACGTAGCCCATTGTAAAGCTTTATGATTTACAAGAACTACTGAGGTTAAAGATATCTCATTAGACATATTTTGATAATTCATACATACGGAGGGATGAATATGCTAAATAATGTCACGTGTCAACCAGATCTGTCGTAAAATCGCGGTGGAAAGGAACATATCAGAAATATATTTTGGCATTGGTTGGCGGGGAGATGTCATCGAAAATGGACCGTTTTGGGAATAGATGGGCAAGAGTCAGAATATTCAGACACAAATATTTGTTCAGATCAGAGATTTATAATTTCTAAGGTGGAGATATCCCTTGTACTTAAGTGCATTGGAAAATAAAAGAATATGAATCAACGTAGGCAACAAGACTATCTATAAAAAGACTTGTAACAAGTCGTAACCCATTCGTGGTTAGCATAAAACTTATTACACACTTGTTCACTGGTCAAACTCCCAACTGGCTCAGCCTTAAGGCTGTAGGCTTACGATGCTGCAAATCGAGTTTCGATACTCGTGTTGGGCAGAGCACAGGTAGCCCACTGTGTATCTTTTCGCTTAGCAAAAACCAAACCATTAGTCAAACTTATACAACAAACATTCTATCAGCATTTCTTATTGTTACCAATCTTTGTCTGTTATCACAAACACACAAAAGTATTTTATTTCGTCAATGTAAGATCTTATTTCTATAGGCAACGTTACTGGGGTAATTTGCTATTACACTTTTATAACTGGAATTTATGTGCACAAATATGACGCTCTTCGCCCTCTGTACGGCATGTGTGTAAACACAATTATCCAGGGAAAAAAAATCAATGGAGCTTTCATGACCACCTCCTCGATATCGCGAATCCAAGCAACATAAATGTACGGCTTATATTATTAGGGCTAGAGACTACTGTGTTGTTCAGAATAATACAACGTGTAACAATTTTAAACTCCCGTGGTGTTAGCAACAAGGAATTTAGTCTATTAATCACCATGACAACCGGTGAAATCTCTTCTCTTAGAAACGCGTGAACTTGTACAATAATTATAAGGGATGTATGGTTTTATTCTCATATCAAATACGAAGGAAACATAAAACGACGTCAGCTTGCACTAAAAAACCATCCATTCTAAATTACTTTTTTTTGTATTTCGAGAAACCTGTTTTTAATAATTATTTGTTATGAAAACATTACTAACATTCGTGGTGTTTTCAGATTTAAACGTCTTGATGCTACCTACCTCTTTCTTCTTGCTGCTATTTTTACAAACTAAACAAATATATTTGTCATCTTACATATTTTATCATATTGTTCCTATTTTTAAAATTTAGGAAACTTTAACACTAAGTTCAATATCGAGCATCACCTATGTTTACTCCTATATTTACTTTACTTCGCGGAGCTCTCCTGTAACTTCTAGGGTCACCTATGTTTACTCCTATATTTACTTTACTTCGCGGAGCTCTCCTGTAACTTCTAGGGTCACGTATGTTTACTCCTACATTTACTTTACTTCGCGGAGTTCTCCTGTAACTTCTAGGGTCACGTATGTTTACTCCTACATTTACTTTACTTCACGGAGCTCTCCTGTAACTTCTAGGGTCACGTATGTTTACTCCTACATTTACTTTACTTTGCGGAGTTTAATAATAACACATTTGTTTACTTATTGTGTAATGATAATATGATATATTTATTTATTGTTTAATAATAATGTATCTATTTATTTATCGTTTAATAATAAAACATTTGTTTATTTATTGTTAAACAATAATATATTTGTTTATTTATTGTTGATTAATAACATATTTCTTTTATTTATTGTGTAATAATAAAACATTTATTTTATTTATTCTTTAATAACAACAATTTTTTATTGTGTAATAATAAAACATTTATTTTATTGATTATTTAATAATAATATATTTATTTAGGATCCACCCCCGAGTATTCTTCTGTATCTTCTTTTCTTTCTTATGTAATTTAATAATATAATTGTTTATATTATATTGAGTGTTTTGTACTTATTTCTTGAATTTTAACAAAATCTGACTTTGAAATTTTAAAAAATCGAATGAAATACCCCCCCTGGAGACGAGAGAGTTAGTCTTACAGTAGGACATAATTTAGTTATAACGGTTTAAAAACTCACCCACATATCCAAGAGTGGCGACGACGAGGAACTGGAAGTGTCAGAAAGCCTGATTTAGGTTCAACACCAGTTTCTTCATCGTCTGGTTCGTCAAGCTTAATTTCAGGAAGTTCATTTTGTCTAATGTCAGTTTCCATTATGTCGAAACAACGTCAACATTTAAAACCAATCGCAAGCATGTAAAACTGCCCGTTTACATAAAAACTGTTTTTTCAAATCCTTTATTGACTAAAACCATAACAATAATTTTGAGTTTGGGGATGTGATAATGGGTCATGATAACGTGAAACAAGTATTAATCTACGGAATACAGAACTTGTGCTAACGTAAAATTATCCAAAGTTTAGGCCTTTCTTGGGGTTAGAATATTTTAGAAAAGACATCTCTCCGAAGCGTAGAAACAGTTCTAGTCATGCAAAGCTCTGTTCGTTTTAAATGACTGTTTGACGGAAATCGATAATGACTAAGTACGAAAGAACGCAGCAACCGCGGCAAAACTCGAAAGGATCCCCTGCTTTCTATTGGTAAATCGGTTCAGAATTCGTTCATCAAAATCTCTCTAAAAGACCTGCGGAATGGAAAGTTCTAACGATGACGTCAGAGGAGCAATACGGTCGTGATACAGGAGGGAAGTTATCGTACTGTCGACCTTACATAGATAAAAATGTCTAGTAGACGGACAAGTAGCATCGCACATGAAGTAAGAAATTTACAACCATTCCTGAGCTCAGGCAAGAAAACAATGAGTTTGTTACAACTTGATCCTAAAACAATTTCTCAAAACAAGCACTCTTACATTATTATTGGTGGTCGTTCCTAAAACAAGCACTCTTACATTATTATTGGTGGTCGTTCCTAAAACAAACACTCTTACATTATTCCTGGTGGTCGTTCATAAAACAAACACTCTTACATTATACTTGGTGGTCGTTCATAAAACAAGCACTCTTACATTATACTTGGTGGTCGTTTTTAAAACAAGCACTCTTACATTATTATTGGTGGTCGTTCCCAAAACAAACACTCTTACATTATACTTGGTGGTCGTTCATAAAACAAACACTCTTACATTATACTTGGTGGTCGTTCCCAAAACAAGCACTCTTACATTATTATTGGTGGTCGTTCCTAAAACAAACACTCTTACACTATTATTGGTGGTCGTTCATAAAACAAACACTCTTACATTATTATTGGTGGTCGTTCCCAAAACAAACACTCTTACATTATTATTGTTGGTCGTTCATAAACCAAGCACTCTTACATTATACTTGGTGGTCGTTTTTAAAACAAGCACTCTTACATTATTATTGGTGGTCGTTCCCAAAACAAACACTCTTACATTATTATTGGTGGTTTATTAATGTTATATTTGAAAGCATGAAATTTTTAACTTACCACCCATTAACTGAAGTTTTCAACCACACACTGTTAAACAGCAAGAGACCAAAATTCTGAATATTAATTCATTGGTACAATGAATTCCTATGTTATTTGGGTGATTTAGATAAACTACCTGTATGAAATCTAAATTGGTAAGGTAATTTATCCCCCCCCCCCCAGTAGCTCACTGGTACATCAACAGACAGGTTTCTGGTAAATCTGAAGGTTTATAACGCTAAACCCCGGTTTCGATACCCGTGGTGGGTACAGCACAGATATCCCATTGTGTAGTTTTGTGCTGAACAATAAACAAACTAATAACGGTTAGAAAAGTTAAGATTTACAGGCTTGGTATGATGATTTAAAAATAACTAACAAATTAGCAACGTTAGTAGAATACTGGTCTCCTTACACGTTCCAATTACTTATTTAAAGACACTATCGTTGAAATACAATTCGTTTATTAAAACTAAATACAATTTTACAGTGATCTTTAGTATTATTTTGATTTAATATTGTAATATCATCTTCTAAATACTGACCTTTAACAAATTGAAAATTTTAAACCAAATTAAAGGTATTTTAAAACACAGAGTGGTAAAATGGAAAGTCGGTAGAATAAAGCTACATTGTGGGCTATCTGTGTTGTGCCCACTGCGAGTATCGAAAACCGGTTTCTAGCGGTGTAAGCCACCGTCTATCTGCTGTGTCACAATAGAGAATCGAACCCTGGATTTTAACATTGTAAGTCCCACTGGGAGATAAAAAAAAAGAAAGATGTGTTTGCTGTTTCGGTAAAGTTTAAATTTTGTACAAAAGTTTTACAAATGAGACAAGAAACTTTATTAAGTAAACTTAGTTAAATGATTTTTTGTATAAAGTATACAGAATTTTATCAGCATAAGTCAAATGGTTCCAATAACGTTTTAACAGAACTTGTAATGGACACTGGGGGGCCGTTTTAACAGAACTTGTAATGGACACTGGGGGCCGTTTTAACAGAACTTGTAATGGACACTGGGGGCCGTTTTCACAGAACTTGTAATGGACACTGGTGGGCAGTTTTAACAGAACTTGCAATGGACACTGGGAGGCCGTTTTAACATAACTTGTAATGGACACTGGGGGGCCGTTTAACAGAACTTGTAATGAATCTAGAAATTTCGCTGGCACTTTATGTAAACTTGGAATATCGTAAAGAAACTGAAGTTTGAAAAAATGTTTTTAAGCTTAAATATTATTTTTTTTTTACTAATTTGAAATACATTAGTTTAATGTTATCCATTTTTACTATATTTAAAAATGTATTATTGGTATTAGTTTAATTTATAACAATTTGAGCATAAAATGTTATTTTTAAATTAAAGAGTTAGATAAATCGGCAGATATTAATTTAAGATTGAAATATTTAAAATGATAATTATTTTTCATTGACAAAAGCAACGAGAATGGAAGAAAGTAGTTTTTACGGTAGAAATACAGTTGTACGTTTCACAAACGTTTCGTTTATCACGGCCAGGGTTTCGCCAGAAAAAGACATCATCAGGTCGTAATAAACGGAACGTTTTTGTAAAACACATAACTGTCTTCGTTTTCGTCAATTCTGTAAACGTTTTTTTGACTAACTACAAGTATAAAATCGTTAATATTTTTTCTAAGAATTTTAAGATTCCAAAATTTGTAGTTTTATGACTAACTACAAGTATAAAATCGTTAATATTTTTTTTCTAAGAATTTTAAGATTCCAAAATTTGTAGTTTTATTTAAACTTTAAATTTAGAACATTTTTTTTTTACTTTTGAGTTTCCAGTTACTACATGTTTAAATAAAGGACCTGAAAATACGTTTACTAGTACAGAACTAAGTATAACGCCCAACTTCATCTAATTTTAAATTATCAAAGAAATTATTATAGTTATAGATAAGGTATTTGATAAGTTTGTTGTATTTAAAATTGACAACTAATAACATACATTGTTAATACAGTATTCGTCACACTATAATAAATTCAAACAAAGATTTTATGAATCAAATAATTTATGTTAATTATGTTAATTTATGATAATTTAATTTATCAAATAATTTAAAGATTTTATGAATCAAATAATTTATGTTAATTATGTTAATTTATGATAATTTAATTTATCAAATAATTTATGTTAATTTAATTTATCAAATAATTTATGTTAATTTAATTTATCAAATAATTTATGTTAATTTAATTTATCAAATAATTTAAAGATTTTATGAATCAAATAAT